TTCCTTTCTTCTCTCTGAGCAGGAAGAGATGCGCTATGGCACGGCAGCTGCAGGAATGGAGTCCAGCAGTTCTCTGCACTGAGGATTCTCCCCTCAGGAGCATCTTGGAAAACATAGAGGAAGCACCCAAAGAAGTGTTTAAATCTACTACCCTCCCTTCACCCTCATCTCGGGCAAGGAAATATGTGAAGCAATGTTAAGAAATTACATGTTTTCTGGACTAATAGACAGTTACAGCTCTAATGTCTCTGCCTTCCTACCCCTTGGTTATCACATCTGCATCTGTGTGAGAAGCAACTCACCTTCTTCTTAGCTGTCTTCCGGAATCGTCTCTTCCGTACATTTTTCAGGGGAAGAGTGACTGTGACAGAGGAAACAGATTGCATTTGTCAGGCAGATGGCCTAACGGGAGAAGATTCCTTCAGGAACAGAGAGCGCACTGAAAACGGAACAGCAGCACAGCTGGGACACGGCAGTGGTGAGTGCCCTGCACAGCTATGGGGACACTGGGGTGGTGGGATGGAGGGGTTTGGCACAGCCTCTACTCACTGCCATGGTTCCAGATGAATTTCTTCTCTCTGTCCTTGTCCTTCTTCTTGTTTGCCTTGGGGTCAGTGCTCACAGTTTGCTCTTCCAAAGGGGGGTAGAGATCACCATCCACAGTGCAAACAAGCATCTGGAATTCCCACATAAACACAAAGGGTGCAAGGACAAAAGGATGTGAAAGCTTTTCTGGAAAATGAACAGTGACTGCCCACTGCATGTTATGAGCCAAAAGGATTCACGGGCATGGAGTACGAGAAACACAATGTTTCACATCCAGCTCGGTTCGTATCTAAACACAGCAGCAGTTAAGCTGTTACAAGGACAATCACATTTCATGCTTCAGAAATGAGACTTCTAAACACCAAGCGGAGTGGGGAATTTTAAACTGCTAACATTGTAAGAATACAGAAATTGGCCACATTATACTGAGTGTCCAGCTGCCAAAGTGTGCAAGGCTTTTCCTGGAGAGGGGAGCAAGGAATTAAGCTGTTGGGGCAGGCAAGAAGGACAGCCCATACCTGGCAAATATCCGCTGTCTTATAG